CCTACGGCGTGCAGCCAGCCTGCTCTCACCTTGGCCCAGGCTCCTCACATTCTAAGTTGTCTCGTATGACCCACCACATAAGAGAGGTGGTACCAGAGGGCTTCATGCTGACAGTCTCACTATGAGAAGTCTCACTTCTCAGCTAGAAGAAGACTGTGGGGTTCTGTGTTTTCCTGAGATGTCTTCACCTTCTAGAATAGTCTTCATTAGTTCCATGTTGGTGACACCACTCCTTTTCACACTTTTTCTTTCTTCAGTTCTTCTCATTTTTTTTCTTTAGCCTTCTCTTTCAGACTTCTCACCCAACTTTAAGGCCTCTCTCTCTCTCTCTCTCTCTCTCTCTCTCTCTATCTCTATCTATATATATATATATATATAGATAGATAGAGAGAGAGAGAGAGAAGGAGAAAGAGAAGGAGAAAGAGAAAGAGAGAGAAGGAGAAAGAGAAAGAGTGTGTGTTTCCTGCTCTACAGGAAACTCCCTGATAAAACGAGGATGATCATACACTCCAATTTGCTTTGAGCAATCCTGGTTTTTACCTGTTTTTCCAGCAAGATTATTAGCAGCTCCCCCCTTTCAAGTGCCCTGGTTTGCATGATAACTTATATGATCCCCTACTGATAACCTCTCCAGCAAGAAAAGGCTTGAGCATCATACTTTCATCTTACTAAATGAGAGGATCAGAATTTAAATTAGTTTTTTAAAGAGCCTGTAAGATTTAGCCGCAGCGTCAGCCCACCCGGCTAACTGTGGCACTGGCATCATTTGATCTAGCGCAGGCATGGCACGTGTGCTGTGTGCTGTGACTGATGGGAAGTTTGGCATTTCACTTGCAGGATTCTAACGGGCAGTTTGAACAATTGTACTTTTTTTTTTTTTCATATCTTTCCTTCTAATACTTCTAGAACCCGTTTGGGGTTTATCTACCTAAAGTTGTGGTAGAATGTCCCAGCTTAGTGTGCAAATATCTCACTTAGATTTTAGCCTACTCTCACGTTATTTGCCAGTCGAATCTCAGTATCTTAGTAAATACTCTGCTGGGGCCTGGGCCAGGAAGCCAAGAATGGAAGAGGCTGAGGAGACGAGGCAGAAAACATGAACCCAGCCGGAGAGCGATGACCTTGTATTGCACTTGTGACTAGATAAGGCAAAGAATGTGTGAGAGGTGAAAGGGGGTGTGTGTATTTAAATTAGATCAGTGTTGCTCCCCAAAGGAGTTTCAGTTGACTGGTCCACTGAAACCAGTCAAGTTCCAACTGGAATCGCACTGCCTTGGTCATGGTTAGTATGCTGTTAAGAGTTACTTATGATTACTCCTCTCCCTGTGATAGTAATTAGTACATTAAGAGCTGTCTGTATAAAAACTACATGAAATGACTGCTGTAGGTATTTTTTTTTCTAAAATGTCATAGGCAGCCCATGCAGTCAACTGATTTGTAGTGCTTCATGAATCCCAGTATCAGAGATAAGTTGATGAGACTGCATAGCAAATTATCATCAGTTTAGACCCAAGCAGTGTCCTTAGTAAGGTCCCTGTAACCATGTAAACTCTATACTGTTTTTAAGAAGGGAGAAAGGCTGATTCAGGAAACATGTAGAAAGTAGGGTCCCAAGTCCCTGTGGCTCTAATCCATGATATGACAGCTCAACAGACAGAAGTATGTACTTGCATCAGAGCCTTTAGTAGAATCCTGAAAAATATTTTGAAGAACAAAGCATTATTTTTAGCAACTCCTTTAACTCACCTGAGTTTATAAGATACCACATTGACTGCTGTATTGGTCCTGTCTTCAAAAAATAGCAACGTACCCCGGTGGAGCAGCTTCCAAACTTTTCCATTGTCTCTTCCACTTCTCTTCGGCTTCACCTGTCACCCACCAGTCGCCACACACACCACACCGACACCGACACCTCTCCATTTTCATTCTTATCAACTATATGTCAGTTTCTGCAGTGCTCCTGAATCGTCTCACCTCTGTGCCTCCTAATGTTCAGTATGCTCTGCTTAGACCACTTTCTTTGCTCTCTTCCACTGGCTGTTCGTCCTCAGGTCTCAACTTAAAGGTCACTTCCTAAATTGAGGAGTGCAGCATTGGCTCCATTAGCCTCTGAGGCTGTGAGGATAGGCTCAGTTATACTACAGTAATAAACAACCACCAAATCTCAGTGGCTTAACACAGCAGAGCTTATTTCTTGCTCCCAGCCTATGTCCCTCATGGCTCAGAGAGAGAACTCTGCTCCTTATAGTTTCTCAGAGACTCAGGCTAATATAGTGGAGGCTCCATCTCACATGCGATTCCATGGCAGCCAAGGCAGAGTGAAGGGAATATGGCGAACCATAAGTGGCTTTAAATGGCTCTCAAAGCTTCTTTCAGAAAGTGATACGTTTCCACTCACGTTTCAGTAACCAAAGCAAGCCCCATAATCATACTTCACTTAAGAGGGGGTAAAGAAGTACAGTCCTACCACATGCCAGAAAGAGGTCCAGGATGTGTATGGGGACCCCCGCGACCACCACAGCTCCCTTGCTGTGTACCATCCTATCGTCTTGTATTTCCTCTGGCGTTATAATGTCACGCTCAACATAGTCACACGTGACCTGCTTCCACCACTCTAAGTTTTGTGACGGTAGGATCATATTTGTCTTACTCGTTACTCTCTCTACTGCCTTCATTAATGTTTGACTCGTAATAGGAATTTAAAAAATACTTGTTGAACGACTGAATAGAGCAACACTCCAAGATTCAGCCCTCAGCCTCTGCCTCTGCCATTTCTTCTCGGAGATCTCATTCCCTCTCATGGCTTCAGCAGTCGCTGCCCTGAGAATGCGTTCCAGACCCTGGCTTCAATCGTACATCTCCAACTACTTACTTGATGTTTCTACTTAATATAAAACACTTACATTTATTCTTTCAGTAAATATGTGTTGGTTATTTCCTGGTAAGGCACTATATTCAGTGATGTGAGGATACAGAGATCATTAAGAGCACTTGCCTCCAGAGGCTTACAGCCTAGTGTAATACACAGAAAAATACAATGCATCCATAACATATACACAGCATACAGAATGCTGTGCCACAGGAGAAGAGAGACGGCTGACCCATGGCAAGGTGGAGTTAGAACCTGTATGGTTCCAACCATTGACGCCACTGAGCAGATATCATCACAGTACTAATTATTATCCTGTGCTGGGGGCTGGAGCTGACATGGACCTCACAATCCACTGGGGAGACAGACAGCTAAGGATGGCAGGGTAGGTGGGAGGGTGACTGGGAGGTAAAGGGAATCGTGCAGAGGGAAGCAGGAGAGCCGTTCTTGAAGCATGCTTTCCCTAACGCATGCATGCAGCAGACATGGGATAAGCAGCAGGGAGGTATCAGGCCCTGAGAGCAGTACTGAGGACACAGCTCCTCTGTCACAGAACATAGTCTGCTGGGGAAGAACTACCATCCAGATGGTCAGTGCGAGTTGTTTTGTTTTGCTGTTGTTTTTGTGGGGTCTTTTTGGTTTTTTTGCGCCTTTGCGGGTGACTTTTGAGCATAGAAAAGACCAGGTGTAGCTAATTTGAGGTCTAAAAAATTAAAATTCAACATATCAAAATTACATCATTGAAGACCTGGTTTTTCAACACAAAAACTTCAACTTTAAAAAAGTTCACTTACATTACTTATTCTATTTGTAAGTCTAGTAAAATTTACCTGTTCCTTTTACAATTTAATTAAATTTCTTTAAATATCTTAAACTATATTTGCACATATAAAATGTTTTCTCTTTGCAGTACTTCAGTTGTCTAACAAACAAAACATTCCAAGTTTCAAAGTAAACATATTTATTAAGTGATAAATTAAAACATAATAAAAGTATGGTTAATCTTTACCATTTGCAAGGCTATTGACTATCTTTTACCTTCCAACATAAAATTATTCAATTGCATATTTTAAATTGAATTAACAAGGCTAATCTATTACTCTAATATGGTAAATTTTAAAAATTGTTACAAATACTTTGAAGACCAAGCATACACAGGTTGTCTTTAAACTTAGTATGAAAATATTGGTATTGTAGGTTTGATTTACTTCATTTCTATACTTAATTTTTAATCTTCTATAGTTAAAAGATGCCTATGAAGGAACATTATGCCACCACAAGCAAGATGCGGGGGAGGGGTGATTACCATCTTGGTTGATGTTACCTACCAACCAGAGAGACTGGACTGGGATACAGGAAATTTTTGCAGGTGACACCAGTGGGATGCACTGAGCTCCAATTATAGTCCCTGGAAAAGGAACTTCAACATTTACAAAAAGGCTGGTCTCAAGGCCTTGAGCACATATATTCAACTTACACATAAATGAATTCTTCTGCCTGGCTTGAAATTGCTACCTCCTTGTCAGGACATGACAACTTCCTTCACTGCTTGGTTTAATTTCCATTTCTTTGGCTGTCATAAGACAATGTACTGTTATCTTTTGTCTGATTCTAACGATGGAACCAGATCTGTCTGATCCTTTATACCCAACTTTAATTCTTTTGTAAACACTTTGACCATTATGGTCGAATTTGAATTGACAAGCTTCTGTTGTTTGAATGTTATCCTTGCTTAACAGGGCCACAGTCCTTAGAGATAACAACATAGCATCCAATGTTATTCTACATTTCCCTCATGGCTTCATGCAGCTCTTGAGTCACAACATGGAAGTCATGCTCCTGACATAGATAGGAGAGAGCTTTGTGACAATTTGGCGGGATTTGTCAGCTGATCAGTGACCAGCGGTTCCTCAGCATCCCGGGCATGACACAGCCGTGATCCCGCTGTATCGTCTTGGGCAAGACAATAACTGCTTTATCTCTGAAATTCTAATTTAGTGTCATCTGAAATATTGGTGTTTTGCTATGCTTTGTTTTGACATTGCTCAAGAATTAACTAAATTGTACGTTTTTGAAAATTGTCATCGTTATGGAGAGCAATGCAATAACAAATGGCTTTGCTTTCTTCCAGATCTTTGATGATGCATACAAATCCCAGCTCAGTTGTGTAGTCGTGGATGACATTGAAAGACTGCTTGGTGAGTCATAAATGTCATTATATTATACTGTCTTTGCCACATTACAACTCACCAATTACAAGAGGAAAATAACGGGTATTTACAAACTATAAAGCAATTAGAAATACCTGTCTTATAAGGAAATATAAAATATCTCTTATCTCTCTAGTCAATGGTGGTATTCATGTTAAATATTCCTTAACTGTAGCGCCATTATAAACTGTTTTCTTGTAAGGACCCCTGCCTCATATTAGTTTGTATCTTCTACAGAGTTCCCTGCCTATAATAAATTATTCGTAATTTTTTATGATGGATATATTTGCTATTTAGTACCTCTGAGCTGCCTGTAGCTCAGAAGTACCACTCATGAACTTTGACAAAACTAATGAAAGATGATTTTACGATTGGAATGCGATAACACTTGGGGCAGAAGCTGCAAGCTCCTTGTACCTTACTTAGTTGCTGCTCTTATAAAAGAGACTGTTCCCTTCCTTACTTACCAATTGAGTAATTGTGAAGACAACAATGGGATGGTAATATTGAAAACATTCTGAAAAAGTGCTCTACAGTGATTTTTAAAAATATTTATTAAACATTTCCTAAGTTTAAGTACACTCCTACAGGATACAAAGATGAATAAGACAGTCCCTACACTCATATCATAAGATGTAATCTACAAATAAATACCAGGAAAGTGTTGTTACTCTTACATTCTATTTCATTGCAAAAATAAGATAAATATGGACTAAACTTATAACAGTGGCTCAGGATGTTGTAATAAACTCTGTAGAAATTGAGCCCACCTGGTGACTTAATAAACCTCTGAAAATACTATCCAACACCTGATGAATCCCTTCTTCCTTACCTTATCCATAATGTAGTAATGATTTCAAGTTAACTCTTCTGACTACATTTTTCCCATGATTTTCAGACTTGCTTTTAGGTCCTCTGTTATTTATTTTTCTATTTCCTAAGGCCATGTTTGTTCTTAACAAAGCAGGTATATCAGTGAGGTCTTAAATTGATAGTTTTATCTAGTGACCTGGGTTTTGGGTCTGCTGTTTTTGATACATTTCAGCCCAGTTTATAGGATTATTTCTTTAAAAGCTTTTAGGCACATACTCATAGCTCTGTGTGAATTCCTTTATCTAAACACAATTGAGATGTGTGGTCATAGCAACACTACTATGTCAGGAATGTGTGCCCTCGAAGTATATTTTCACTTGTATGAATAGTTATTATCTGTATGTGTTTGTTCATTTATTCAAAAGCATCTGCTGAGCCCTTACTGTGTTAGAATTTTTAGGGTCTCAGAAAAATAAGTAAGATGCTGTCTGTTGTTATAACATATATTGGCAAAACTTAATGCAAAGTGGAATGTGCCCTTGTTCTGGATAATCAGAAAAGGGAAGGATCACTTTGGACTTCAAAGGGCTGGTGCCTGAAGGTAGCTCTATGCACAGAACAAGATTGAGTGTGCATGCAATACGCAGAGAAAGCTAAGGAGGTGGCATTTGTGCTAAACCTTCAAGGGTTGGTAGAAATTTAACAGGTAGAACGTTCTTTTAGGAAGGTCTTTGTTCTTCACCACCTGAGACCGATTTAGTGGCTATACCATCTTTTCAGTTATATGGAAGTACCTTACTTACATTATTATTACTTACCATTTTCACCTCTGTCCATTCTCTAGCATGGTGTTTTGTTAGCTGTGTACTTACTATATTGCCATGGTTTGCAGCAATTTCTTGGGAATGCTTAATAAACACACCTGAGGGTTTTTACCCTCTTTGAAAAAAAAAACAATAAAAAACTTTCTCTGAATATCAGACAAAGATGTCAACATGAACTCAAAATGTATATGTAAGAGCTGTTTTTTAAAAATTTTACTGGTAAGAGTTCTTAAATAATATTTTAAGCATTCAAGTTATCGGAGATATTTTTTCTTATTACCGTCAGTTGCATGGCTGTTATGTAAGACTGCGTTTCCTCTTGATGTAGAAAAATCGGAATGTTTGGAATATGTGCCTATGTGTACCGATCCCTAAACAGAGCAATGTTTCTCTTCCAGATTATGTCCCTATTGGCCCTCGATTTTCTAACCTGGTGTTACAGGCTCTTCTTGTGTTGCTGAAAAAGGCTCCTCCTCAGGTAAAAATAAGAAAGGAACATTTTCACAGAGTTTTTCTGGTAGATTGCATATACCAGTGCACTCTCTTTAAATAAGTAGATTACTATAAACATAGAATTCTGCTGAGGGATTTTGAAGGTCATCTAGCCTGGCCTTCTGTGTTAAGGTGAATGATTTTCTTAACAAACAGAGAAGTTCTTCAGTCTTTTTCTTGAAGCTCTCAAGATCCCATAGTTTCAATTAGTATTCTGTTTGGTTTTTTAAGTTCCCCATCATATTACATACACATCCTTATCCCCCCTTCATCTCCTATGAGAGACTATAATATTAATATACAAAGGGATTAAATACATGTTCCCATTTGTTTCATTTATCATTTCATAGGTTTTTCTAAGAATTTGTATTTGAGGAAATTTATTTCCTATAGGCAGATTTTATTTATTTATTTATTTATTTGTTTGTTTGTTTGTTTATTTATTTATTTAGACAGATGAATTTGAGTGATTTCTCTTATGGCATGTGGCGTATTTAAGGAGTGAGTTTATAGCAAATATCTTGGTTCATGTGATTGCAATTTTACTGATGTAGTTATTGGAGACTGGTGACTTTGATAGGCTAACACATTTAAAACTAACCTAAGAGGGATGGTTAAGTATGTTAATTATGTAGAGGCTGCCAGAGCATGTTTGGCTATGACACAAGACACAAATTCTCTTGATTGATTCTACATGCTGTAACCTCCAAGAAATGCCGCTCAAAAGTGGATACAAAGGGGTTAAGTACTAACTTGAAAAACATCTTAATGGCTTTATGAGAATCTCATATATGAAGTTAGAGATATAAACTAAGTAGTATGGAAAATATTTAATATTAAGTTGGAGAGTCAATAGTTAAAAGCGTGTGTGTGTGTGTGTGTGTGTGTGTGTGTGTGTGTGTGTGTTAGACCTTAAGGGAAGGACTTGTCTTGATTTTCTTGGGGTTTTTTTGTTTTGTTTTTTTAATTTATAGAATAGTGAAAAGAAACATAACCTACAACAATCTCGAAACCTTTTATTACATATATGCATTGTGAAAGGATTTTTTAATCATCTTTTCATAAACTATCATTCCCAGTAATTAGAATTTTAGCTTTTATACTAAGGCTGAAGTTAGAGAAGTGAAGTGAGTATATTTTTTCCTTCTCTGATTTCTTCAATAAATGCATATAGATATATCTAAAGTTGCTGGAACAAAAATAAATAACCCCAGTATCTAAATATATCGCATACCAAAAAATCCTTTTTTAAAATCAGCATTTTAAAAATTATTAGATTGGGAGACTTTTGCAGGCACTTAAATGTATTTCTTGATAGATATATACTTTTTTCTTTTATTTTTTACATAAAAAGAATTTATGCTAAAAGTCATTTGGGAGAGGGAAGAATAGTTTTTCAGTGGTATTTTCAAGCCTGTCCTTTACATTATTAAGTACTGTACACATTGATTTAAGCAGAAAGACATCCCCTAGCTGAGAATTATTTGTAATCTAAAACAGATACTAATAGAAATAAAAAACATATTAACATTTAATATGTCCTGTAACATTTTGATTGAACAGTTAGGAATAACTTTCTATTTTGTGAAAAATCATTGTAAGACTTGAGGAGAGGAACATTAGCTTATGCTTTTGAATCTTACAGCATCTGACACAGGTTTATACATATGCACTTCATGAATAACTTATTCAACTATATATATATATATGTATATGTATATATATATATATATATCTCACTTATACAAAAAAATACACTTTTGAGTGTCATTTTTGTAGGATTAACTATTTTACTAGTGCCATGGTTTGTATTTGGCAAGTATGATTAAAGTGATAAGATTCAAAAATAAGTAAAGTTCAGATGACCAATAAGCACATGAAAAGATATACAACATCATTAGCCATCAGGAAAATGCAAATAAATCCACAATGAAATTCCACTTCATACCCACTAGATGGCTGTAATCAAAGAGTCAGATAATAATAAGTGTTTACATACATAGGGAGAAAGTGGACCCCTTGTACACTGCTGATGAGAGTATAACAATCCTGCAGCCTTTGCAAACAATCTAGCGGTTCCTCAACAGGTTAAAGATAGTTACCATATTACCCCACAATTCTAAATATATACCCAAAAGAAGTGAAAACATGCTTACCCAAAAGCTTGTACATGAACATTCATAACAGCATTATTCATAATAGCCAAACAGTGGAACCAACCCAGATGTTCATCAAATAAAGTAAAATGTGGTATATACATACAGTGGAATGTTATTCAGCAATAAAAAGAAATGAGTACTGATACATGCCATAACATGGATGAACTTGAAAGCATGCTAAACGAAAGAAGCCAGCCACAAAAGACTACGTATTTTGTGATTTCATTTATAATTAATGTCCAGAATTGGCAAATCTATAGAAACAGAAAGTAGATTTGTGAGTGGTTGCTTTGGATTGGGAGGGGTAGATAGGGAGAATGAAAGGTGACTGCTAGTTGGTATGGGGATTCTTTTTGGTGTAGTGAAAATATTTTAAAATTGATTGTGGTGATGATTGCACATCTCTGTGAAAATACTAAAAACCATTGAAGTTACACTTCAAATCAGTAAGTTGTGTGTTATACAAATTATATCTCAATAAAATGGTTACCAAAAAAACAAGTGGTTTCAGAAGCTACTTAAATGATAAAAAGGAAATTATATAAAGAGCTAGAAGTAAGGATTGAGCACCCAAAGCCCCTGGCCCAGCTTGGGAGAAGTCTTAGAAATAGGAATTGGATCATAGAAAAAGGGACGTGGAACGCATTTCTCTCAGGAATGAAAAGGAAAGATATAGGAATACGTAAGAAGGAAAAAACCTGGTCACCTTAGTGATTGGAAATGGCAGAGATTCTCTTTTAAGAGAATACCAGCCTGTAATTAATCAGAATTTGGTGACTCTGACCTGGACTGCTAGATGACTTCTTGTATAAGTGAATCAGTGGCAGAAGAAAGTAATGTTTGAAATATTTCTTGTTGGCATATATTTAACAAAATAAAAATACGCTTTCTCTGTATCACCTTGCTTTTTAAAATTCGTTTCTATTCTCTCAGGAAAATAAGGGAAAATTTCAGGCTGATCCTGTATCAAGATTATTTGTCATTTTAGAGCAGAAGCATTTATGTATGTTTTTTAGATATTTTCAATTAAATATTAAAAGTATATGAATCTGAATGTTGTAGAAATGCATATACTGGTAGAAAGCTATTACTGTCAAGAAAACAGAAAAGTTGTAGGTATTTTTCTTTAAAAAGAGGAACGGTACATGTATACAATAGAGTAATCATATCAGTCACAGAATCCTTAATTTTGCATTTGTTGTAATTCCAGCTTTCACACAGAAAAATTATGTGCATGTGTGCACATGCTCAAATAAAAGGACCCCTTCAGGGGCACTATGTTGTTATGTATCAAGATATTCTCTTTTCTACTTCTCCCCCTCCCCCACTCCCCGCCCTCGTTGTAAATTGGCTTATTAAAAACTGGCTCACAAGCCTTCCTTTTTTCCCTTTGTGATTGCTTTGGTCTTGGATTTTCAGTGCAGGACTAAAAATTCAAGTCAGATTTCAGTTACTAGGATAATTTTCTTTGAATTGAAAATTTTTTCTAGGTAAACGCATAGATTTTTAATGAACCTGGTATTCAGTGGATTTGCTTTAAATGTAGCTGGAGAGTTAATTTCGTGATTGATTTATTAGTCCTTTGAAAGTATAAAAAGTGGCATCAGTAGTTCACGAAGACTGAAAAACATCATCACATTTTGTTTAGCATCTTTTTAAAACCAATTAAAAGCTTTTCTAAAATGGATTGAACAGGAGAAAATAAAACATGTTCCCTAGGTCTTTATTTCAATCAAGTTTCCCTGTGTTCTGCAGGAGAAGAGATCGTGGGGGGATAGAAAAATTGAAAAGGGCTGTCCCAGCAGGGCGCCACGCCGGAGAAAAGGGCTGCTCTGAGAACTCGGCAGCCACAGCTAAGAAAGCGCCCAGGCTGCTTCATCTACATGCAGAGTCACACAAGGCATGGGGGCGCTCACCGTCACCACAGAGGTTTCACATGTGCTCCCCTGCTGGTTCCTGTGAAAAGCTAACAATTGGCTTGGAGGGTAAAAGACCACTGCAGTTCACCCTCCCTGAGCTGGACGTACAATTTGTCCAGTGTTAGGAAATGTCCGGCTTAGCCGTGAGAGGCTGGAAGATACCCCTCCTTCCAGGGAGAGTCCGAAAGCCGCCTCTTTTACTTGATGACACTGGGGCTCTTTTCAAGTTTTGCAGATTTATGGAAGTTGAGGGGAATGTGCTTTGCAAGATCAGGGGTTTGAAAGCCTTGGTCTTAGTGTCAAGGAAGCAGCAGTAGGAAGGCGGCAAAGGCCAGGTGAATGTTCCCGCAACCTGCAGCGCCAGGGGCTTCGTCATTTTCCTCATAGATCTCTCGTGGTGCCTTCTTTTTCAGGGCAGGGGTGGGAGAGACAGAATAAAGGACCTGAAGAGGAACTCCTCGGGCTGTAAAATGACATGACTTCCCAGTTTCCTCAACAAGCGTGGGAGTCGTTAAGCCCATTGATGTGACTGCTTTACTGCTGGTTTCACTTGTCGCTTTTGGGAATTAAACTGGAAGGCCTCATCTGTATGTCCCAGAATAACCGTGAATTTCTGGAGAACCATTCCTTGTTCAGTTCAGCGTTTCCCAACCTTTTTCAGGTCATGGCTTATAGAAAACGATAACATTTGATGATGTACTTGGGTAAAGGGGTGAGGCCACCACTCAAAGCTGGCCAGAGATGCAGCCACCCAAGTGCTACCCAGCCTTCCCGAGGGCTGACGAGCATTTACTATCTTAGTCCACCTGTAACTCACATGCAGCATGCCAGTTAGAAAATTCTTTGGAAAATGTAAACTTTTACAAAAGAAGATCACTTCAAATTCATAGCAATATTACTGAAGTGGA